CCGTGGATGCTACAAAGCACATAGGTCGTAGTTAAAATAAATTGACTATTACTTACCACGTTTAAACCCGTTAAAAGGGAATACTGTTTTTATCTATAATTTACCAACGTCAACTCTTGTCCTTTTAAAGTAAAAGATGGGAAAACAACCAGGCACTATTTTTTCATTTTTTGTTCATTGAGTTAAATAACTTTTACACAGATTACGTTGATTTGGTTTGTTCGCATAAATATTCAACAAGTATATCATTGACTTTGAATCGTGACAAAAATTTAGGCCTCTCATTAGTCCTAAAACAACATTAACTTCATATTCAAACAGAGGCCGAAAATCTGGCTTCAGGGGGCAATTCTCGTGAAAGTGACAATTCTGTAATAACATATAAATCTAACATTTTTTTTAATGATTTATGACGGCAAAATCTTATCTCTAAGAACATTGAATTACCTACAACTAATGACGTCTTCAGTTTTATATCACTCAGTTGAGAATTGCCCCCATCATATTAAACATTCGTAAAATTCAGACGTGGGTCCTGTCTGTGATAAGGAAAAGAGAGGCGAAATAGATTAAAAGTAGGCTTTAATTACTACCTTTAGATCTAAGTGTAAAGTTACCTTTGTAAGGACTTTTTTAATTTGTTCGACGACGCTTTTGAAATTGATGATACCTTTAACGGGTTTACACCTTCCTACGTAAATTTGTTTAGTTAAGAGGCCTTTATTCTGTAAAAAGAAAATACACTATTACTGATCTAGTTGGGTTATTGAGTTGTTCGGCAGTTGTAATTGAGAAATAATTTTCGACGTGTTGCGCGTCTCTGAACTAACGACTAAATGCGCATGAGCAATATCTGACGTCACTCACTTGTGACGTCGAAACCATTTCTCAATGACGACGGTCGACACGAACCACAAGAGCTATTCAAAATGGCCGCGGAATGTTTTTCCGATTTATATGCAAACACTGTTACTACAACTAGAGGTTAGGTTAATTTTAATTTCTTATTTATAAACATAACCAAAGAAGTATTTCACTTTTCCATACTTTAATAAGTCCATTCCTTCTTTGTTCGTTTAATATAATAAAACTATTCAGTGATAGTATTTTGACAATCCTAAAACTTATAAGTCATTTTGCATTATAAAGACTTAGTTTCAATAATAAATTACGCCCTGATGATTCGGATGTTTCGCTGCAGTTATGGTCACGGGGAGACATGGCTATAGTTAACTTACATATTTCGCGTTTTAAACCGTTAAAAATAAATTTTGAATTCAAAAAGAAAAAAAATTGTGTTTGAAAATTATATTGAAGGCTAAGATATCGAGGAAGGTTTTTTTTAGGTTATATAAAATAACGCTGCGATCAATAGGAAGATGCGAAAAACAGTACAAAATGTGGAAACGTTTTACCAAAAACAATCCAAAAAAAATCATTCGTCTTTAGATGATCTAAACTGTACAACAATGTCTGCATCAGTTTATGCTTTTTTTTGAGATTAACTCGCAAGAACGATTGTTATGGCAATAGAATTTGTTTGAAATATATCCAAATATTTGTTAGAGTTGTATAAACATCTTGCAAAGTACAAAAAGTTTACAGTTTGATACGTACACAATAATTAATTACAGTATTTTTTTAATTCTATTATGTTTGATGCGAATATATAATATATGTGATAAGAGAAGATATCCGACTATGTATATTAAAACTTTTTGCTTAACGAAAACATCTGCATTCACTACACATCACTCATAACAGATATTATTGTTTTCATTTTGAGCTTTATGCTTCGGGCAGATAAGAGGATTTTCCTTTATACATTTTCTCAATATATCCGTTGTTCGTTCAGCGTAAAAACGTATCCGTGTACAGCCAGCAACGACAGCTCTTACTTCTTAGTAATTACACATTACAAATTAACGAAAAGTTATGTGTCCATCTCTATTCTATATTAAAGAAAACGAACTGATTTGTTTTAATAATAGAGAAGGACAGACAGACAATCATCGGGTTTCAGTTGTTGTAAGGTGAAATATCTTAGTGATGTAACATCTGAACGAGGTACGCTGTCGCCTATTTTTACTTTGGATTTTTAGTAAAAAATTATTATTTAAATTAGTAAAAAGTAGTTTTTTCCGATTAAATTTCACCTTTTTATCTGTGTTACCTAAGACATAGGTCGCGTCATCGTTCTTTCAGGTTAATCCTAAAAGATATACATAATATAGTGTCGTGTTCACATTAAATAGGATTTAAAGAAGTTCATTATTTCATACGTATTTTTTGGGTTTGGTAAACCGTTTTCAGAGCGTACTCACTGGAAACCCTTAAGATGAATAAATTTTCCATTTTCTATGTTTTCCACTATTTCTTTGCTCTTATTGGTCGCAGTGTGATGCTATATAGTCTAAAACCTTATATAAACAGATACAAAAATATTTTTTCCATTCGAAACAGTAGTACTTGAGATTTGAGCGTTCAAACAAATACACCCTTCAGCTGTGTAATATTAGTATGAATGATAAAATTAAGTTTGAAGGGAAAATTACGCCATTGCTGATTGTACCAGCTACGTCGGATTATTATATCAATGTAAACAAGATCACTAGAAATATTTTTCACGTGAGTAACTCAAATGGCACCCACTCCATCATTCCGCCCCATCTTCGTTTTTCATGCAAACGTTTATTTCATTTCATTGTTTTGTTATTTTACGCGAAGAGTTCGTGTTTGTGTTGTAAGGGTTTCCCCTCTTGAGATACGGCGCTTATTGTTTTTGGCAGATTTATTGTATTACACGAATTCCAGTTCAATTATGAAATGAACATTCTATTTTGTATATCGAGTTTTGAAGTTATTGGTGTTATTGTTTCGCTCCGTTTATATAAGGGGATTCATTAACACAAGTGTATAAGTACGTATTTATAAAAAAATAAGTCTGTTAATGAAAACTCTACTCGACTGTTCAAGTGTTGTATTAAGCGATTCTAGATATATAACTTTTCATAAAAAGTGCTACGACAAGCCTCTACACATTTCAATGAACCACGTTCAACGGTTTAAAAAGCGCTCCCCGTGATTAAGACATCATCGGAAATGTCATATATTATATAAATATGTTAAGTAATATATTTCAAGTTAAAATTGTTTTAGTTAATTAATATTGTCGGCAATTTTATAAAAACTCCTACACTCAACGCAGTGCTTTCTATATTGCTCCTGGGCCTCAGCGTTAAGTGATTTTTTTTTATGGCAAAATTCCATCTTGTCAAAAATATAGGTACTACATATTTCTGTGCTTATTATCTGATAAACTCATTATAAATAAGTAATTACTTAGTTCTGTCCGATCAAAAGTATAAATTATGTTTTCCCGGCATTCGAAGGGAGGACCGCGCTTTACAGAATACTAAGTAATACGTTACACAATTGAGCTACGGACGCGGGTAGATAAATATACAAGTGCTTATGCATTTTACTTATGAGGAACAAGTCAATTTCAGTTTTACGTATAGTAAAATTAATAATGGGTTGAAAACTCTCGTTAAGTAAGAAAAACTAATTTCGCTTCAATTATAAAGCTAATTTCGCCTGAGGTGATCCATCTAGTAGGAATTTAATTGATTACCAGCACTCGGTTAGCGAGTCGTGTCGTCTTCACGTTCGTCTTTTGTTTTAATTACAGAATCCGTGAGCCAATTATGTTTTCCCGCCAGTTTTCATAGCGATGTTCGATCAATAGATCGTGTTTTCTTTCCAAATGGGGTAGTTACATTGATTAGATCGACCCTTAATTATTCCCTCGGGTTCGAAAAGCGCTTTATTGTCTATGAACTAGATCAATGATGCTGTACTTTGATTTAGACTTAAAGATTAAATACTGTAATAAAGATTTAGTTTACACAGATATAAACTTTTTACGGCTTCTGTAGTAAAAGATAATAACCAACGGATCGTGTGCTCGATTCCTATTAAGACCAACATGTGCAAAAAAAAAAAAAATTAAATATGTTTGTCTTCGTCTTCAAAATCTTAAAACAGATCGACACCACATCTTTTCAAAATATGATATGGCTAAAGTATTTCACCCATCACCAAGAGACCCGTCTATCTCTGTTTAAAAAAAACTGGACATTATAAGGAAGAGCACATGAAATTATTACAAGAATTGCTAAAGTAGCTCAGAGCGTTGAGTATAATTTTATCTAACACATAAAACCTAAAGAAGAAGACAGAACAGCCATTACGTTCTATTTGTTAATACAAATTCACTTACACGCTGATACTTTCACTAGGCTGGCGGGAATCAAAAACTACCGTGGTAATGACGTTTCTGACATTCTTAAATTTTTTGACAATTGTCTCCCTAAGATTACAGACTATGTCTTACACCTTTTATATTTTCTCGACGATATTTCAAAATGTTAAACGAATTTATGATTAGTTGTATAAACTTAATTTGAATGAATACTCATATGTAAAGTGGGAGATGTTACTTTTATTTACTGAGATAAGAAAATGTATGAATTAATGTGTATCTTGAAAATCCACCAAAAAATTGTTTGAGTCGAAATAATACATCTTTATTACTTCATAGCTTTTTAAATGACACAGCCGTCTACTGAAGACGCACACACGCGTGACCACTGCTGCCGCAAAGCACCTGAAACGTCGGGCCGTAGTTAATATAATTTTCAAATAAGTTTAACTAATATACATCGCGTTTTAAACCGTTATAGTGTTTAATTTAAATGTGTATTACTCGCGTAAGCTACAGAGAATATTTACTTCACAACTTCTTTTATATCAATTAATCATCATATATTCAATTACACCAGTCCAGTCTGAAGTATGGAACCTATTTCTCAAGGTTTATTTTTATCGTCTCTCATACATATAAAACGCTCATTTCATATTACATTTTGCACAGTCGTTCGCAAGTTAGTGCTGAGATAATTCTTAAAAAATCACCACATTACCATTTATATAAGAAAATGTTCTTAGTGACTGGCGCTTCGTATAAACGGGACAAGGAGAGGGAATTTGTCAGTCTTGGACCCTCGGCGCCTCTCAAATTGTGCTCATATAGTAAAGGTTAATCCTCCAAGTGACGTCTATTAAAGATACCTGGACAACTTAGAGCGCTAATAATAATAAAATATATATATATTAAGTGTTGTAGCGTAAAGTTCACATGTAATTTCGTAGGTGTAAAACTGGGTTTCCGTTACGTACGCTGCGAAGACAGTTCTAGATACCCAAAATATATGTATGAAAGAATGATTCCTCTAATGATACCTTTTGAGATTAACTTGCAAAAGCGACGGGATGCGATGACGAGGTTTAAAAAAACAAATTTGGATGGCCAAAATAACTATTCTATATTCATTCTACAACAGCTCAAGTCAGTCCATAGAAGGAAATAATTTTTATAAAGAACAGACAATATTAGCAACAAAAAAACTTATACAAGAGATACATTATAAAATATCTCATTTTTAGCATAGTTCTTGATGCGCATGTATTCTTGATTCGCTGCTAATTTAACCATGAATATGTCCTTCGTTGACTTGAACCGAAAAAATATTTACAAAATTAGTTCTGTTCGCATCCGCAGTATTCAGAAGAATAATAACGGGAGCTAAAAGGAGAATTTATCAAAAGAGCGGTAACTATCGAGTTAATGAGCCGACATTGTGGCGATAATACCCCTACTATTCGCTCGCTCGGCAGCGAAGGAAAAAATATCGCGGGCTGGTATTTAAGGATTTTGTTGAAAAATCTTTTGAAATAACGAGTGTAACAGCTGAAGAGGTAGTTTTTACATTTATTTTCTCCATCTAGCTGAGAGCTCAGGGCTAATGGCGACATTGTTTGAGCTTATTTTTCCGGCGTGCAGGATTTGCTCATGTAATTCGTATGAAAAATTAAAAGGGGTGGTTCCTGCGATTTGAAAGTATTTAGTTTTGAGCTCTGCGTCTGAGCGCAAGGTAAATTAAAATTTATATCCTTTATGAAGTTCAAATGCAAATAATTTATTCCACACGGCTGCGGTATTTCACACATCACCCAGAGAACCAGATGCTGGTCAATCCTCTCCTGTTATAAAAAAAAAAACAACTAAAACCCGTAAATTAAGAATCGATTATAATTGCAATAAATTACTTATTTGAACCGGCATTCACAGCTTCCGTGCTGGTGCATAGTCTAAGCGTAATGTAGAATCGTAATGTTGAGAAAATGGCGCAATTATTAATAGAATTGCTAAAGTAGCTCAGTGTTGTTGTGTTGACTATAATTTTAAGTTCAGGTCTTCATTATCTCACACAAGCTGCTCACAGTACTTAATAGGACGGCATTGCATTTGTTTGGATGTTATAGCGCTGGAGTATTTTACCTGCTTCTCTGTCTTCATCTATCATAAAAAATATACACAACTCTATGACCACGAAAAGGATGAGAAACTATCATTAAAACTATATTTTATTTATTTTTTTAATTATCAGGTTGCCTGGAAGAGATCGCTACTTAGCGATAAGGCCGCCTTTATTTATAAGTCAGTACGTAGGATTTTCTGTGGTGTGGTTTATAAATAATAAAACAATACTAAGTTTGAAGTAAAATTTCTTCTTCCTTTTCGAAGTAATAATTAGATAGATGTTCTAAGTAATCGTAATTTTAAAAAAAACTGCTATTTATAAAACTTGAAGTATATAATAATAACATCGGAATACGTAAGTATTAAGGTTGAAATCAATATTCAATCGGCTGAAGAAATATGACGATGACGCGTAGGACACTGTATCTTAATTCGTTAGAACAGCACGGGCCGTGGTGTATAAGGTTCGAGTTCCGCTCGTGTCGTCATTTTAAAATCTAAATAGATTATTAATTTTGACAAGTTCTTATAAATTACTATTTCTATTTCTGCAGTGATGTGATATAAAATATATAATTCGCAACTAAACATAAATTGATATCAGTTTTATAGCTTCATTAACGCTCTCTTTTCTTTACATTTTCCGTAATGCCATTAAAATAATCTCGCGATAAAAAACAATGTCAACTTCCATAACAACTATGAAGCGAGCTGATAGTAGGGATCCGTCTATTAAAGCTCATTTTATCCCTCTCTCCACCATTATTAGGTGCAGAGACACTGCTATCGTAAATATACCACCTGATAAGACAGCGGTCGTAAAAGCCGTTGAATCGACGCCTCCGAAAGTAAGGGAATTTTTGCTAAGCCTAGCTAGCGTCTACTCTCCTTCTTACTTTGGATGATTACGATAATTTAAAAAGATCCAGTTCATTTGTTATTTTTAAGATGTGAGATTATTGAGATATTTGAAATGATAGGTAAACATTAAATTGATTAATTATATAATAGGCTTTTACTGAGAAGTGGCTATCTCATATCAGGATTGATAGCGAACGAAGTCAAAGTATTAAGAAAAGGCATCTTTAAAAATGTGTACTACTTGTGCAATAGACACTACTTAGTATTAATTATCAAAAAGGTATTATTGATATATATTTAAATAAAACGGACAGATGGGCAGACATAATTCCGTGTCTGTTTTACTGGCCTACAACTATTCTATTTCGCGGATATTCGAACTCAAAATTTCTTGTTCCACTAGTACTCGATGGTTTGTAAACATTAGTTTATTATGTAAAGGTTTCTTTTAAATCACTATATCACATAAAATATACTCATATAAAATTAGTTGTGTCAGCGACTTCCTCTGCATAGAATATTTATTTTGGGCATCCAAATTAAAAGATAGACATATAGTGTCGCGGACATTTTTTTAGATAATATAAAGAGGAATTCTTTGATACATATTTTTTGGATGTCTTGAACCGTTTTCGCAGGGTACGCTGAGGTGAAAAATGTCTCCAGTTTTGTTTACATTTCCTGTTGTATCTTCGCTTTTATTAGCTACAGCGTAATTTTTTATAGCCTTGCTCGATAAATGATCTAACCAACACAAAAGTATTTTTTTCAATTCAAACCCGTAGGTCCTGAGATTAGCACGATCAAACAAACAAACGACTATTCAGCTTTATATATCAGTACAGATAGCGTGTTCTTGTACAATTCTAATTTCAAAATGAACTTCATTCAACCCCAATGAAATAGCAGAGTTTTGTATTGTACGCAGGTATGTCCAATTTAATGGAATTCGATAGATATTTGAGATACGAAAATGTTAGGCAGGTACTGTCTCGATAAAAGCCCATTTATGATATTATCTGAGCTCAATACAATGGAAAACATAAAATTTCCATAAAGTACCTATTGTTTGTGGAAATTTCAATACAATAGAAAACTTATTTGTTAAATAATGTAACTCTCCGAACGTAAGGACGCGATTTACAATACAATGAACGAGCTGTAATACAATTATAGCTATATTGTAACGAAATACTGCTACTGCTAGACGTAGGCCTCCCCCAAAAACATCCAGTACGACTGATCGTTTGCTACGTGCATCCAGCGTTTTCCTGCTTTATAGATTAGGTCGCCGGTTCACCTAGTAGGAGGTCGTCCAGGATTCAACTCGCTGATCTGTTGGGCTATGTCAGTGACTTTAGTTCTCCTACGAATCTCCTCATTATATCTGACTACATATTATAATTGATTTAATCTAATTATAATTCATCAACTAATTTAATGCTAATTAATACAAAATTATATGTTATTTATAAGTTTAAAATTCTGTCTTTCTAATTTCAAATTCATATAAAATAATGACAAGTAATTTTCTCGAATTTATCATTGTAACCTATTTGTTCTTTGAGGCAAAAACGAACAACGATTTTAGGTGTAATAGAAGTCAGGTAGAGCTACGTAGGTAACAAGGAAAAGGCAGAACATTTGAGCCATTAGCTCTATTCCGCTTAGTTGTCCTTCAACTTATTATAGGAAGTCTTTCGAATTTCTGGAAGGAAAAGTCGTACTTACCTGCAGACTAGCGGTGTCGACAGTTAAGTCTATAAACTTTGATAACGGAGTTGGAGGAGGAGACGTTCACAAATATACAATAATTGCTTATACTTTTACACATGATTACGTTAAGATAATTTTGTATATTAACATTATAATAATTTAAATAAAAAACAAGACTGCCTTATCGCATTATTAATACTTGTGAATACAAGATGTATTATTACTAGTACAAGTAATATTATTTGATTTAGTTAAATAGAGACAATATAGTAAATAATTTATTACATAATTTTGTATTTGATTATCAGTATTTAAATTTATTTTTTTCTTCGTGTAGTAACCTATATACCTATATTTTTATATAATAGTATAAGAGATGAAATTTTATTCACTAAATATTTTGATGTCTAATAAATATTAAGTAGTTTATAGCTCGTAGCTTTAGATAAGATGTGTGTGTTTCCTCAAAAAGCGTGGGCGTGTAGGGTCGCGTAATGGTCAAGTATCCTGTGACAAGGAAAGGGTCGACCCTACTGAAATATAGAGGAGCAATTAATATCCTTTTACTTTTGGCGGTAGAGCTTCCGTTTTGATTTTACGAATTTGTATTATTTCTCCTGTCTTCGTGTTTTGAAATAATTGTTAAGATGGTTGTTCTCAAATACGTAGCTGTTTCGAGCTAATATACTTTTGGTGATGTTTATAAAAGTCAGATCTATATGAGGTCAGTCATGATAAAGAGCAAAGTTAATCAGTATTTTAATTTTTTTTAGAACAATTTTAAATTGTTAGAAAAATTGTAAACGTATATGTGTACTGAAATTATTAGTTTTGTATTTTGATACACTTCAAGAACTACATCTTTAGAAAACTGCAGGCCGATTCTACTAATTTAATGACGTTTCGATCAAGTTGCAGTCACGCTGCGATTAGGTTTCGATTCAGCGCCGATGGTATTTTATTAATTTGACAACTGCGCATTCAATAAGGTACGCCAGCGAATTGTAAAAAAAAACACTCTTGAGCTACCGTATCATATACAAGTGGATTTTTTTCAACCTATAAATTTTTACCTCTCGCGCATTGTAATTTCAACTATTTGGATATTAAAACATGCAAGTGGAAACTATTGAACAGTTGTGAATCAGCAGGATTTAATTATCATTTATTGGAAGATCTTAATTTCATGTAACTATATAAAATGCGTACTAGGTACTGACTTTAATTAAAATTTCAAGCACAATTATTCACAGACATAGGAATATCGATGTTGTTTCGTTATCAAACATCTTTTGCATATTGTCTAGAGAATTATGAATATTGGAAGTATCCGGGCCAGCATTTTTCTAAGAATAATATTTTTACTATATTTTAATGGTGTAGATGGTGAAGAACCGACCCTAATATATAACTTGCGAGATGGACCGCAAATATACAAGAAGTATGTTGAAAAATTTAATAAGACGTACTCGGATGATGAATATTACACAAGGTAATATTAAAAAAATTAAGAGTTTGATTGTTTGCATGAGCGCGCTTATATCATGACATCTACTGGATTAAATTTAAAAACCTGTTTTGTGTTGAATAGAGCCTTTATCGAGGAAGGCTTAAGGCTATAAGATCACTCTGCGACCAACAGGACCAAAACACAGTGGGAAATGGGAATAATTATTTATTCTTGTGGTACTCCGTTGCGTGAGCTGCGACAACAAAATATATTGCGCGCGCGACAACAAAAATATGTATAAAAAGAATGATTCCTATTTAAATCAACTCAAAGATGGGTTTCACTGGATGGAATGTGCCCCATACCCCAGCTATATAATATCTCAATAAGATGCGCTGTCAATCTATTTCGGTTTTGGATATTCGGAAATGTAAAGTCTGACAGCGAAACGCGATTAACCTAGACGGCATTTTCCTCTATGTTTAAAATCCAATTTCCAAACAGAGCCCAATATATTTTAAATAAAATGTAAAATTTGATCCGGAAAAAATGTTGGATCCGGAGGGGATCGAATCTACGACCCGGAGATTGTTAGCAATACATTGCTATGAGTAGACCAATGAAAATGTATGAAATACCTTCAGTTTTAATGATTCCAGGTACCACAATTTTATGAACACGTTGCGTCAAATAAACTATATTAATTCGAAAAAACCCCAAAAAGTCCAGCCTAATAAATATGCAGACTGGTCTGACGATGAGAGACGGAATGTAGAAGCAACGACGAAAATTGACTGGGAGCTAACTATGCAATTAAAAGACCTCAAGCCAAATGTCGACTCACTAATAAAAGATCTTATTCTTTAAATTCGCTCCTGATAAAATGCGTGTTATTAAACTAAAAAACTTCACTACACTTCTATCTACGGATTTTTGTGGGTCTTAATTGTGTCATATATTTGTTTCAATTCGAAAATAGGTTTTAAGGTAATGTTAAAATAATGATAATAGTGTTTTAAACGTGAATATCCTTATTTAAGTCAATTTATTTATTCATTTGTTTTTTATCTATAGCATTATTTAAGGTAGATTGAAAACGGCAACATAGATAGATGTTCAACAGACAACGTGGAAAATTGCAAATCGTGCCTTCAGTTACTTTCGGTTCGGTGGGTTCGGATCCTGGGAAAACAAAATATAGACTTGGGAATCATGTGCGATGACACGAAAAATAAAAAAAGATTTTAGATATTAATAAATTAAATAAATAATATATTTCGCGTTTTAAACCGTTAATTTTTTTATTTGAACGTGTACACTCGCGTAAACTACAGACGTTAAACAAGTACAACAAAGTATTAAGATTAAATGGAGACGAATCAATTGTGCCGAATTAGGGGATTTCTGTTTCGATGCGAGTTCTCCCAAAGGGTTTAGCTAGTTCAGAACTTCGCGTTAGTATTCTGCAAGCAAAGTTGTCATAAATATCCAGGAGCCTTCGCTTGTCTAACTCGAACGAACTACATCAAACTGTTTTGTTGACGCTGAAGTTAGTCTCGATATCCTGCTAGTCACGAAATGAGCGATTATAAACTCTTCAACGATGGAGTTTACTTTTGTGCACATTAATGCCTTGATTTAAGTGCATTACACGAGCTGAGAATACACAGGTTGAGTATTACGTATTAGCTGTGTCAGCGTCTTCGTCGGCGTAGAATAATAATTTTTGGCATCCAAATCTGTTTTGGTAAACGTCCTCTTTATATTTATAAATTTAAACTATTACCTACGTCGTCGGTTGCGTCTTTTCCACATCTCCCGCTGTTTCTTCGCTCTTATTAGTCACAGCGTAATGTTTTATAGCCTATAACTTTTCTCGATAAGTGCTCTAAGTAAGATAAGACGAAGATAAGCGCGTTCAAACAAACAAACTCATCAGCTATATTTATTTATTTATTTACTCATTAAAATTCACGTCATGACAGCCGGGAGCCCAATTCGACACTGACCTTAAAAACTAACATAGAAATATACAATACAATTAAAGTATTACTTATAACTAACTCTTAACTAATATTAAATCATTAGTTTATTATTACTAATTATCAGTTTATTATTTTATAATTCATATGAAATCGTAAACTGTAAACACTTCACGAGTTCACTCCATGCATCATAGAAAATGTCTTTTTGCCTATGAAGTAAGTTTATTACCTCTATTGCTCTTGTCCAGGACGCTTTTCCTAACAAATTCGTTTTAGCAAAGGGTACTTTTATAAGACTTTGGCGATGCCTCTTATGTATACGTACTGATCAGGTACTAACAAACTAATTCTTTCCGGCATTTGCATATTGGTGAAGAGAGAAAGGCTAGTGAAGTCGCTGCTTCACTAGCCTTTCTACTTAATATCTATTTTATTATTTATTTTCTCTCGGGGACACCTGTGGTAGGACGGGTGATCAGTTCACACTATCAGCTGACCATTTCACCCATTTCCCCATTTCCACCTTGTGGAGGTTTTGGGTCATCCAACTCTCCCCGTGTCCCCTTCAAACCTTCCGGTTTGCTTGCAGAATCTTATAATTTTTTTTATCTGTAATTCTTTGATCTCATCTTCTGTAATTTCATCCGAACCCATATGTGTTTGTCTCAGCCTCGAGTATGCAGAGCATTCAGTGAGTAGATGGATGCTTGTTTCCTCACTTTCTCTGCACTCCGGACATAGGGGGTCGCTGCCTATTCCTATCATTGTAAGATGTCTGTTTAGACGGCAATGTCCTGTTATGATCTCTACGATGAGTCGGATGTTCGCTCTCGTTAATCTCATCAGGTTTTTGGTCTTCTTTTTGTCTAGGCTATGTATGAATATCTTCGACTGTCTCATTCCAGTCGAAGATTTCCATCTTTGGTTTGTTTCTTCTATGATTCTGCGCTCGATTATTCCCTTGGTTACTTTATGGGCTATCGGAAGTCTCGGTTCCGGCCCAATCAAGCTTTCATCGGCTCCTTCGCGAGCGAGTTCGTCCGCTCTCTCATTGCCAATATTTCCTTGGTGTCCGGGGACCCAGGCAATTGCCACTTCTACCTGATCAGTTAGTTTGTGCAGTGCTTTCTTGCATTCTTTGACAATAGCAGATGTTGTCTCTTCTTTGCATAGCGCTTTAAGTGCCGCCTGACTGTCACTGTAAATAGTAACACTTGACAGGGGTCTTAAGTGCCTGGCAATCTCTGCACATTCCATGATGGCGAATAACTCCGCCTGGAATACGCTAACAAGTTTCCCCAGAGGGATTGATCTTGTTATCTCTGTTCCGTCCTCGCATCTCATATATATGCCTGACCCAGAGAGCTTTGTCGTTTCTTTCCTGGAACCATCTGTGTAGCACACCGTGCCCACATTTTCCAAGTCTATTCTCCACTTCTGCCTTTCCCCAATGTGGATTCTGTATCTCTTGTCAAAAATCCTTTCCTTACGTATGAGATCATTGTTTGCAAGGATCATTGACATGTTCTTGTCATTTACTTTACCTATGCTAGCATGACCTGTGTCCATGATATTTCCTTTCCATAGGTCTGCGCTTTTTAACCTGAACCACGTTTCCGTAGCTTTCCTTTTTATTTCTAGATCTAATGGCATTAGTCCAAGGATGATCTCAAGTGCCGCTGTTGGAGTCGTCCTCATTGCACCCGTGATCATCAATGCGGCCAATCGCTGCACTTTGTCTAGTTCTATTTTATTGGACTTTAGCGAGGCCTTATGCCACCATACTATTGCGCCATGGGTGATTCTGGGTAATATTATCGCCTTGTATATCCAGGCGACAACATTTGGCTTCAATCCCCATGTTCGACCTATAGCACTTTTGCATTGTAGCATTGCGGCCTTACTTAATATCTAGCAATGTATTATAACCAACCCGTCGTGGGTTTGATCTCCACCGGGTCGAAAGTTTTAATAATGAATTTATAATTTTCGACTTCGTTTGAAAATCTGGACATTATATGGGTGGTAGGAATATCGAATTTCCGTCCAAATCGCGAACCACCGTCTACAGATAAAGCCACCAAGTTTAATCACGTTTCGGCTTCAGTCTGCGGATTTCCGAATATCCAAAGCCTAAATACGTCGACAGGGCATCTTGTTTCCAAAATATTGTTCTTTTATGTTATAAGCTGTTTTTTATTATATGCGACACTAATATAAACACTTAAATAATGATAAATAGGTATAAATTATAAATAACTTATATAGTGAAATGCATTTAAGCAATTTAAAGTAAAAGCTTTTAATAGAGCGAATGTTAATTAACATAATATCATCTCTATTTAACCTCCTGAAAGAGCGATAAAGCTGTCCTTAGAATAGGTTTAACTGTCTCTAGTAATTTTTCAATTGCCTCGGGCACCGAGTGTTTTTCTAGCAAGCAAGAAATCCAATAAGTCCCGTGATTAGTTCTTGTCCTCTGCCGACACGTCCACTTGAACTTTCCCTGAAAATTACATCACTAATTCCTTCATTAGTTCCTAAGTATAGTATAGTACTTGTATACTGAGTACTGTAATATTTCACGTGAAAAATAACATATTAATATGAAAAAAAAATATATATTTACACGAATATAATAAACCTGTGGATTTCCGAATTTTTAAAGATAAAATAGGCCAACAGCACATCTTGTTTAGCTGTCACACGGCTGGAATATTTCATCTTTTATCAAGTTAACTTCACGCTTGTCCGGCCTCCTGTGTCAGAAATAGTAACACATATTAATTAAATAAAATACTTATAACGATTTTAATGCGAATTATATTAAGATTTTTTTAAAAATTGAACCCCTACGTTGGACGTTAGGAAATCTAAAGGTTAGTAATGCAATTGATTTTAATTTTCTGTGATAATGAAAGATATATAATGTACCTATTCTTTATTTTGGTTATACATCGATTTTACTCGTAATATTATTGTGCTGGCTTGTTTTCTATTGGTACTAATAAAATTATTTCATTACTAACTGTGTATAATTCAAGAACTTATATTGGACTAGGTGTGCCAGCGACTTTCGTTCAAGAATTGTTATTTTGGGCATACAAATTCGTTTTAGACTTGTTGTTACCTATGACGTCGATCGCGTCCCTTCCTGTCGTCCTTGCAAGTTAATCTTAAAAGATAGACATATAGCGTTGCTTTTATTAGATCATTTAAAGAGTCATTCTCATATTTCATCTTCATCTTCATATTGTTTGGGAAATTAGGGAAATCTTCATATAACGATGAATAATTTTCCCAATTTTTTCACATTTCTTGTTGTATCTTCGCTTGTATTGGTCTCCCGGCAATGTTTTAGTGTCTATAGCCTTACTCTATGATAAATGCTCTAACCAACACGAAAATAATTTTTCAATTCGTACTTACGTAGTTCCTGAGATTAGCGCGTTCAAGCAAACAAAACAAATAAACTTTAGCAACAAGAAGACAAGCTTTATATCTTAGTATAGATACTTAATTAAGAATATGATACTCAAATAATAAAATCTACCGTTTTAAAACTTTAATATTTTTTTTACATGTTATTGCACACGAAGGCACTATATAATTTAAAAATCAAATATAAATTGAAAAAAAATTTGACTCGCGAGAGCAACAGCACGGAACGCTGACATGCCGGTTCAAGTCCTGCTCGAATCGAAATTTTTTTATTTATTTTCGATTTTTAAACTCTACTTAAATTTCGAAACCCAGGATATAGAAATTTCGATGCACAAAAGTAACAACTATTAAGACAAAATTACATGCTACAAAATTTTCGATTTATCTACAGTTTTGAAACTACCTAAAGAAAATACGTTAGACTAGCTGCCTCGTCTG